AAAATCATTTCGATATTGTTTACATTTACCATATTATTATTTTATTAAAAATGAATATTTAGATGCATATTGTTTTGCTCATTATATTAATGGTAAGATTTATATAATACAAAATTCGAGTAGATGTTTGTTTTTTCTTCTCATTCATTTACATAGAAGAACTTAATGAACTGGTCACGAATATATTTAGTTTTTATTTTGATTCAATCACACTATTTGAATGAAAATGTAGAATTAATAGAATTAAAAAAATCCTCTCTAAAATATATACTTTCAATATATCTGATAGCACATATTTGTGAATATTATTGTAAATCTATTTAGTTTTTTGTAAGAAAAAATATAAGTAAATATTTTTTATCTTATTAGAAGTTCCAGATTATGAACTATAAAAGAAATGCACATTTGTTCTTTGTTCAATTGTTAAGAAAATTGAATTCTTTTCTTATTCGGTGACAAAATCAAATAACAAAAAAATTGTTAGCGCAATTCCTATGAGATTGAAATGTGAAAAACTATTCAGCTGCTCTTATTAATCATAAGGAAATTGTTTTATTTTATCTATTTTGAGACACATTCGGTCACCATACTTTTACTGATTCCTCCGAAATGCAACAAGAAAGTAATACACATATACATATGAAACGAGACATTATTGATATACAATCTGTGTTTGTATGTCAACAATGTCTGCCACATCTGTGATTTGTCATTACTAAGATGTCTGTCATTTTTGTTTATTTAGCTCTGGAATAAACTAATGTTCCACATTGTAGAGCCCATCGAGTTAGTTCCGAGTCCAAAAATTTAGGACCTAATGAACTTTAGTCGTCTAAGAAATGCATAGGATGCACTAATCACTGAATACAAAAAGCCGGAAAAAGTATCCCGTATCTTTGCAGTGACGATATAATCTGGATTGAAAAATTCCACTGAGAGTATCAAAAGTGTGATTCAGATCACAAAAATGTTCAATAAATCGATCAACTTTCCCTTGCGATACTTGTTCGCTATCGATCTCCGTCATAATATTTAGTCTGTTATGACTAGTTGTTAAGACGCCTGCCAGATTTCTATCCTCTATACTCCAATATTCCTTATAGATCATGTTTCATAAAAGTAAACAATAAAACAGAATCTAAAAAAGACAAATAAGCACTTTTGTAGTTCACTAAATACGTGTCATCAGATATGTTAGAGATATCTATTGTAGAGAGGTTTTTCTTAATCGTCTCTAAGTCTAATCAAATAAGATTTTTCTACTCAGGTTTTAATACTAAATCAGAATAAAATATTTTCATAAAATCCAAGAAAACAATATAATTGAAATTTTACAATTTCTATTTAAAAAAAATAGCGAGTTCATATTTTGCCAATTCAACATTTTCAATCAAACATTCACTCGAATTTTGCATTATATACATTTGAAAATAAGTTCAAGAAATTATCATTTATTTTTTTATTTATATTTATTTAGGTGGTTATCCACCTTTTACTCTATCGGATTTCTTCTCTAATATATGGATATATTTAATGCGAGCAAATCCTTGTCATTTATTTAATACAATACGATATTTTGTAAAAAACAAATTCATATTTTCAGATTCTTATCAACGTACATCATCATCATATAAACAGATCTCACGTATTATATGACTTAATTATGATTATATTTAAATCAATAATAAAAAAGCGTGTGGGTGATCGTTTTCAAAATTTCTTTTTTTTTTCTGTGTTATGTCAATGAAATACTACAATGTTTGTTTGTTTTCCTTTTTTTTTAACACGATTTATACAATGACGAAAATATGAATCTTATTAATCTATAGTCAAGAAAATAAAAACAAGTCTTGAATTATATTGACGTTGATGTATGATAAATGATGCGGATGTATAAAAATGCATTTCAGCTATTTTTGATTTTCAAACTTAAAATTTAATTGAATCATATATAAAATGAAAGAACAATGGCCAGTTACTTATTGATACAAGTCAGCAATGTGTGCATTCATTTGACAGAAAATAAAGATGAAGATTAATTCAAAATAACGTTTTGAATCTATGAGACTGTATGCAAATCTTCGGTTGTTTAAATTTTGAGACTGAAATATTTATATATATTTCATTCGTCATTTAATTATTGTGTTAATGAAAATTTCTTCTACATTTAGTTGATTTCATATTTGATAGAGTTTTTCAAACATTACAAAACGTACTAGTTTTTTTACGGTTTAAAAGGGTAGGGCACATAACAAAATTGATATTTGATGACTTTCAAGTAAAATAATACTTGTTTCACTTCAAACAAGTATCATATTTAGAATCAACACAAAAAAAAATGAGTCGACTTATGTATATTTCAAATTTTTTCTGCAACTTTTTTTTTCCTCATCAAATTTTCACCTCTGAACTTCCCTTCAGGAATGTATGTAAAAATAAATTTAATCAAAATAATAGTTTTATTGTTTAGTTACTCACCTTTTTTAGCCTTAAAAAAAATATTTTACAAGTGTAGAACTTTTTTTTTTCATTGTAACAATGAGTTTTTAATTAAATTTATTTTTTCACACATTCCTGAAAAGATCGAAAGGTGAAAATTTGATCAGAAACAAAAGTCATAAAAAAAATTTGAAATATACATACGTCGACTCAATTTTTTTAGGCTGATTTGAAATATAATATTTGTTTGAAGTGAAACGAGTATTATTCTTCTTCAAAAATCGTCAAATATCAGTTTTGTTATATAATCTACTTTTTTTTAAACTGTACAAACTAGTTTGTTTTGTAGTATTTAAAAAGTTCTATCGAACACGTAGTGAACTAAGTGTGAAGAAAATTTCATTAACACAGTAATTAAATGACAAATATAATGCATAAAAAAAGCATTATTTTAAATGAATTTTTCTCGTATGAACAAACAACTAGCAGAATAAGTTCAAATCATTCTTCATCTTTGTTTACTGTCAAATAAATATTCACATTACTAACTGCACATTTAGTAGGTCATGAAGACCAGGTATGTTCACAGCTATGATTGAATCAAAATGATTAATTAGATTGAACCTTGAGAAAATCTAATGAAGTTGAAATGCATTCTTGTGCACTTCCGTCCTTTGCACTTTCAATTTATAAGACTTTTTAATATGAGTTGTTTTTATTAGAAACGCCTAGATTGTCGTATAAGGTCTTTTTTTTTTTTAAGATATGGAATATTTGTAAAATGAGAACGAGTAAAAAAAAAAAGCATATTAGCTTTTAATTTCCTATTATAGATGGAAGTGTCTACTCTTGTATGTGTGATATAAAGGATCAACTTTTGTATGATGAAATTTCTATCCTACATTGCTTAAAAATAAAACACAAAGGAAATGAAGCAAATTGTTAAGATTTAATAATAAGTAAATAATTCAACTGTTAGACTATTAGTATTTTTTTGTTTTATCAAAATCTACATAATTAAATATGCATCATCGCTTTATTCGAAATAATAAGATTATAAAGCATGCTAATTTCTTTATAATATTAATCAATAGAATTAAAAGATGTTTTATTTCATATTGTCAACATATTATAATCAATTATACACTAGATTTAAAACTAAAGAAGATTAATTCAACATGAACGAGAAAATCTTTTTCTTTACTTCTTAAAGATTAAATGAAATAGAATGTGAATAATTTTTAAGGAATTTTAAGAAGTATTTATAATCATTCTTGATTATATTGTATTAATTATCATTAATTCATTTTTTTTTTTTCTTTTCATCTAATTCAGTTCATCTGAATGCACAAAAGTAGAAGTAATCTTCTGCCATTTTCTGTATATAATGACTTATTTTTATAAAAAAAACTATAAAAACTTTTCAGTTTTCTTTTTTCATCTTATGAATTAGCCATATATACCTCAAAATTCTTCAATATTGAACATACTGATATCTATTATTATTTACGAAAACAAAAAAAAAATGAATGTAAAAATATTGATGATGCTTATTATGTGAAGATATAACATAGAGAATGAGTGAAATCAAAGAAAGAAAAGATATAAAGCTTAAAGGCTTTTAGAGATTCATTCATTTATCTTTTTTTTCACGTATCTGTAAATGCAATTTGTTTTCTTTAATTCGTTTGTCGATATAGTAGAAACATTAAAAAGCTCTTTTTTTTCCGGTTTATCATCATTCTAGTGACTATCCATTAGTTTAGTATCATTTGTTATATATTTTTTAGAATCTCATCATAGTATTCTTTTTTTATCGGAAAGAGAATGAAAAAATATTTTTTTCGCACCATCTTCACATTATTCACGTTCTTAATTTAATTATACGATGTAGGATTTCTATAAATAACATGTTTTTCTTTTATTTATTAAGAGACAAATAGATAAAATATTTGTGTTTTGTTTTTTTTTCTTTCACATCAATACATATACAAACAGACATAAAATATTATTTCAAACAAAACGAAAAATAACGACTATGTCATTTTTGACATGGTTCAGCATGGAAGCGACCAAATATATTCAATTCAAATAGACACATTAATGTTATGACAGACAACCAACTAATAATAAGAAAAATTCCATAGAATTTTGTTAAACGACATCGATTTATAAAGAATGTTATTAAAAATGTAACAATTGCAATAAAAAGAATAATTGTTGAATAAACTAATCCTCGTGAATGAATTTCAACATAATAAGGAATATTTGTATTTATTGTTGTTAAACTACCATCATTTGATGAACTTGATGATAAGACAGCTAAATTTGGATCACTCATAAATGGTACAGTTTCATATGGTGTTGATTGATAAGTAAATCTCATTAAATTACGAAATAACCATGGTATACCTAAACCCATTAAAATATCAAATACATTTGAACCAATTGAACCAGCAATAGCCATTTCTGGATGACCACGTCGTGTCATAACAATAGCTGAAAAAATTTCTTCAATTGATGAACCAACAGCTAATATTGTTAAACCCATAATACTATCTCGAATATTTAAAGTTGATCCAACAATGACAACAAGCCATACAAGAAAATAAGCAAGGCCAGCAACCTATATATCATTGATAAAGAACAATTATATATCTAGATTTATTTACACATATTATTTACCCAAATAGTTGACATGACAAATGTAAGCATATAATAATTATGAAAAACTTCTTTTCGACAATCTGGTATTGTTATATGCATAAGTAAACGAACTGGATACATAAGAATCCATTTAATTATTTTATATTTTTTTGTTGGTAATTTAAGTGGATCAAATATTTCTGTTGCATTAGCAACTATTTGATGATTATCTAATGTATCTTTAAGACGTTTTCGACATGGTTTAAATGTTGAACGTCGTTTTCTATAATGATTACTAATTGATGTTGTATTCATTGCAACAGATTCTGAAACTGATCGTGCACGTGTTGTTATATTTTGTTCTAATTCAACATTATCATTTAATGTTTGTAATTGTTCAGAATGACGTCCACTAGATTTTCGATGTGTTTGATTTGATGAATTTCCATGTATTAAACGTGATAAACGATCATTAAATTTTAATATAGCCACATAAATTAAATACAATATAACAAGTGCAAATGCTTCATACCAATAAACACGTTGATCATATATTATTATAAATAGAACAACAACGGCAATACAATAAAATCCACCATCGCGTACAATTGGATATGAATCTAATTCACATACTGTTGTTGAAATAAGTGCACATAAAGCAATAACAAAAAGAACATTGAAAACAGCTGAGCCGAGAATAGTGCCCACTTTAAAAAAGAAAAAGGAAAAAGATATTAAATTTGAAATAACTTTTGTTAAAATAAGTTCTTTCATTCGTTTCAAAATAAGCAGCTTTTCCTTCCTGTTTTGTCTTTATTCTATATTTAGCAAAAATAGATAGATAATGTTAATGTTTTCCCATTTTCTATATAATTATAGATCATTAGAAATATGTTTATTCAGTTTTCATGGTTCTAACTTACGAGCAATATCCGATTTGACGAAGAAAACACCAACTATGGATGTAAAAAATTCCGAAGCTGATGTTGCTAATGCCATAAAAGTAGCTCCGGCAACATCCTATTAGACATCAAATAGATATGTCATACATGTTATATTTAAATTCATACCGGAGTTAAATTTAAATTATAACTTATTTTTTCTAAAGCCGATGCAAAATAATCATCACAAACAATTTCAATAGCAGCAAATGAATAGAGTATAAGTACAATATGAAGTAGAACACCGCCGTTACGACGTTGTTCATCTGTAAAAAATAATGATGGAAATTGATCAATTGATGCTAATTCACATTTATTTTTTTGATAATTTAATGTTGATTCATTTATTTTTGCTTCATATAGTGAAAGTGTATTTGTTGTTGAAAAAAATATTTGAAATATAGTTCCAAAAAGAATAGTTAATAAAATTTTATGTCGAATCATGATAATTACTGAAGAATATTATTAATAATATTCATCTCTATAAAAAGAAAAACAAACAAAACTAGAAATCTTTTTAGGATTAATAAATGCAACAATTTTACATAAAACTAATTATTGAATAATTTATCTTCTGCTTATTTTCTATAAACAAAAACTTATTTCATTCAAGTACTGTCACTAACTTATAGTTAAAGAGAGAAAAGACAAGAAGAAAAAAAAGAGGACAACGTCATTAGTGATGCTAAGCAACTAGTTAATATTAACGGAAGAAGAAGAAGAAAGAAAAAAAGCACTAGAAGTTTTAACATTACCTATCTTAAATAATAGTACTACTATCTTTTTTTTTCTTTGTTGATGGTTAATCATCATTGATTTTTATTGATGAGTATTCAATTGACTAATGATATAAACCGTTTTCTCTGGATCTCTTTCTTTTAATATGGATTTATAAGTGGAAGCTACTTGGTTGCCTACTCCAATAAAGAATCACTATCACATTGTTTAGACAACATCATTAATGTTATAAAGACAAGAGAGCGACAGGAGCAGTTGTATGCATATACAACCAAAAAAAAAAAATTATAATCATAATAAAAATGATTGTTTTTCCCCTGTTGCACTCTCGTTCTCGCCAACTCGTCTAGTTAACCGTTTGTCTCTCTACTTCTGTCGTTTCTCGCTCTTTCTCTCTTTTCTATCTCGTTGTGTGACACTAAGAAAGAAAAGGATAGCTGACTACCAGACTCTCTTGCGTGAAAAAATGCTATAACAAGCGACATAACGGCCGAAGAAGAGCTTACCAAGCCGGTTCCTTCTTCTTCTTCTTCTTCTTTTTATTCTTTTGTATGCAATATAGCACAAGATATGAACGAACAGGATTTGTTGCTGGTGTCGCACGCAAAGGCATATGAACATAATTTACATTCTCGAAATTACAAAATAGAAGAAAAATTAACAATAAAAAGAAGAAGAGAACGCATAGAAATCTAAAACCAAATGAAAAAAAAAAAAGTGTAAGAAAGAAAGAAAGAAAGAAACAGTGAATATGACCCAAGATTTATTTCTCATCTAAAAACAATTAGGTCAATGAATTTAAAGAACATCTAATGATATGTTTTTTGTTCTTCTTTCTTTCTTTATAATACTAAATAACACCTATATTATTTATATGAACAATTCGATAATATCATTTTCTTTTTTTATACCTTGCTTATAATAAACTATGCACATTAATATCAATTGTATGCCTAAAGCATCATAGACTAGAACTTTATGTGATTGCCAAAGAGCTACTTATAAATAACGCATTTACTTACGCATAAGAAGAAGAGAAATGTTTTTATTGTGCTTATTTGTTGGTTTTTTAGCATCCCATAGGAATATACTTAGCCGGTTCAATCGACTTAGTACGCACATTGCACGCATGTAACAATTGAATTGTAAATGCATACATCCCGTCCGTCATACTTCATAGTGTCACTTCCGCCTGGCAAGCATCAAAAGATAGGGAGGGATAGAAAAAACAGATATATATATATATATATATATATATAAATGAATATACTAATGCTCAACCGAAAAACAAATCAAGCTTATTACAAAGACAACATATTACGATGATTCGCATTACTGAAATTATTAATACTATAGGATTATTTATTATTCTCATTTAAGACAAGCTGTATTATCAAAGTCTTCTTATGAGTTTTTTTTTTATAGAACAAACACTAAAATAAGTATACTAGATATAGACTTATAAAGGAGAAATGATCTGATTTTCATACTTAATTGAAAACATATGGTCCTTAGTTTTTCTACACTTTAATAAGCATAGAATAGGAATCTCAAGGGCATATAATGTGCCAAAAGCTTTCAATTGTATTTTTTTTTCTTTTGACATGGCCTACAAAAAAAAAAAAAGAATAAGTAATTTTACACAAGTCATGATGATTTCCCGCTGAACGTTTCAATTAGGTTTATAAATAATTTATTTTTAATGGATGTTTTCAGGGAACGACAACTAGCAAAACGTTTTCTCAACCGTAGAATAACTTTTGAAAAAAAAAAAGATCTATATAGAAAATTGAATCAATTTAAATTATTTAATGAATATGATTTTATTTGATACAAAATAAAATGATAAAAACTACCGATTGAAAAATATTTATAAATACCGATTTTAGATTAGATTTATCGGAGAACTTTTTTTTTTTTCATAAGAATCGACTAATGTAACTGAAACCAACACAAAAAAAAAAGGGAATAAGTTATTCTAATCGAATTCAAATTACAAGCAAATGTTAAGACAAACAAAAAATGCTTTTCAAAAGAATTCCTTCGAGATTTAATGAAGTAGTTTTTATTGCAAATCAGAAACTTTCTAAGAAGATTGCGTTCAGTTTATGAATTATAATGTTCTATAATGAGAGAGAATATGCTATATGAAATTATCAATTTTTTTTTGTTTTGTATTGTAAAAATTTTCTAGATAATCTTTTTTTCTATAATACTATAGATAATTTATTTCCTTCAAATAATAATATTATTTCATTTAATGAGAAGAAAAAAAAACCTACAAAACGAATCATAAATTCTATATGATTAATATTTAAATTTTCTCATTATATGCATGACTAAAATGTCTTTGAACTATATATCAAATGTATTTGTTCTTGTTTATAGTCACTTATCGAAAACAGAAACATTTATATCATAGAAACAAGAAAAAAAAGTAGAACAATTCCTTGTTGAATGAAAGGAATACAATCGAAAAAGAAAACAACTAAGATATTATAACAGTCATTATATGCTTTTTTTTTTTATTTTTTTCTTTTTTTTTTTTTGTTTATGCCATACCACCCATCCAATTAGGTAATGGACCAGCTTGTGGGAAACCACCTGGTAAATTTAGATTAAGACGTTTGATAGCTCGACCTTGTGCACGAATAGCATAAAGTAATGCAGCGTATTGTAGAAGTTTTTCTTCACCACGTGTACATTGAATTGCACGTTCATATAAACTTGCAGCTTCTTCGAATTGATTTCTAAATAATAAAAAAAAAAATTTTTTTTTTTTTATATAAAAATAAATAAAAATTACATACTGATTGCATTTAAATATAGCAAACATAGTTAAAACAGTTTCATTTGAAGGATCAAGTTCAAGTGCTTCAATATAAAGTTTTTCAGCTTCAGTATTATTTGATGGATCACTTGACATTAAACAATTACTAAAGAAAATATTTAATCAATAATTTTATATAAAATTTAAAGAATAAATATGAGAACAATATGATTTTTCAGGATATACTTAAATGAATTGATTACATTTCAAAATTATTACAGAATAGGTCATAAATAGCAATACGATAAAAAAAAATTGAAATATCTCCACATTGGTTCAATCAAATGAGCTGATTTTTTGGTAAGTGATAGAAGTTTATTCAATGATTTTTTTTCTCTGATATTTGCTGTACAAACTGATGTATTTTGAAGGTCTTAACGACGTCTTATCAAGACCTATGAACATGAAAGAAAGTTGGAATTGAATTTGACTCCGACTTGGTTTCGTGTCCGGATATCTCTATAAAACATTGTTGGAATTTCTAAAATACATCAGTTTGTACAACAAATATCAGAGAACAAAATTCGACTGTTTAAAAAAATTCATATGTTAGAATTGAACTTTTAGTAAAAAAATTTAGTTGATTCCGTGCAGAGCTCTGGGATAAGGTAAGCAAATATTACTATTAAACATTATTGTTGGTATCACGGAAGCAATTTTATCTGTTATTAAGTAGAACATACACATATGTAGCTTTTCAAAGATAATTATCAGTGATTATTCGAGATGTGCGAGACTAAGTTTTCTTGATCTCGTTCTTGGTGATTTAAGTTTTTCTGGTCACACTTCCGATCTGGAGAAAACTATTCCAGAATTTATTTGTATCATATGTAAAAAAATCTTTCAATACTCTTTTTTTTTTTGGATTTATTTAGTCGATCACTAGAACTTTTTTAGTTCATCTCTTTTGAATTATATTCTGATTGATATAATTTATAAGATAATTAGCTTACAATTATAGAATATTTAACTATAATCTTGAGTTCCGATTAGGATGACTTTTTTTCTCGTAGTCTCGGTGATCGAGATTAGAGTTGGTCTCATAGGTCTCTATTTATCATCTAAGAGAATAATAATAAGAAATCAAAATGAATTTTATGATACTGCATATTGATGTATATAGAACAGATTTTGCAGAACTAATGTACGTGCTATAATTAAAGAGAAGTGGATGTTAACTCAATAACTCGACAACACCAACAGTTAGCTATCTGTGGTTTTCAGGAAACAGAAGAGAAAAACTCCGGATGTCGTTTTGTGTGAGAGTATATTAGATAAAATTATCCTAGAAGCCACCATCTGCGAAAAACATTTAAAAATTGCATGAGAATGGTGTTCTGTTTCTATGTAATTCTGACATGGCTCTTTAAATAGAAGGATTTTAGATCTATAGTTTACGACAGGAATCAGATGATTATTTCAATGTTGAACAAACAAAAATTATGTATCTATTCGGTCAAATAATATTGAATTCTGTTGATTTTTTTATCAAATATCCTTGAAACAAAATACAATTTTCATGCATTGTTTTTGAGCGTTTTGCGAATATGATGAGTTTTAAAATAACTTTGTCTTATATATTATCACGCAAAAAGGCATCCGGAGTTCTCTGCTCTTACGAGTGATGAAAACAGCAAGTCACTAGACGTTTTCGAATAATTCAGATTACACCTACCGCTCTTTAATTCTGACGAGAACATTACTTTAAAAGTTAACAGTTACAAAATTTCAGATTTCCAAACATAGAACATAAGTTTTTTGCAATCTGTTGTTTTGATACTCAAAAGGATGTAATTATTTGTATTACTTCTAGAGTGCAAATTTCACCATTTAAGCTGACTAGTTTTTAAAAATTTGCTCTGCGCGAATCCATAGATTTCATTTTGACTTTTTATTCTCTCCGATGACAACTGGAAATTATTTGTAAAACCCTTCATATGTATTGTTTTTTACTTTATTCATATGAAAAAGAACCTTCAATAAACTTCTACTACTAATCAGAAAAAATCAGTCCATTCGAGCGAACTGAAGCAAAGATATTTCAATTTTCTATCGTAATACTATTTATAGCCTACTCCATGTAATTTATAAAATCATTTATTTTCGATTGGTTTGACTAAAAAGTTTAAAATCATTTTCTAATAATGAATAGATATTAAAGATTTCGAATTATAAATCTAGTAATAATAACTATATTTATCCGAAATTTCAAAATCCATATTATGAAAATTATATCATTAAAAGACTTTGTATTGACAGAATATTTTATATTGAACTATTCAAAAACTTCACAAGGTAGAATTACGTAAAAAGTAAGAATTTGAAAACAAAGAACTCTATCAGACACTGCAAGCTGACATGCTCTTTCAAATAAAAATAAACTAATTATACACACTTAGAGCCAACAGAGAAATTTCAATTGCCAAATGAGCTATTTTTGACCTTTGTTTGATGAATATCTCTTGAAAGCATCATAGTATAGAGTTAAAACTTTTCACATAGTTTATCTGTTACAATTCAAACATATCTTGAAAATTTCATTTGATTCAAATGTATCTTGCTCAAGATCGATTTTTCAAAGACGAGGGACACAGTGTGCATTTTTTGCATGGCAGACGAACATGGGACTTTCATTCTCAGAAATTTTTAGCCAAATGTCAGTTCGGATGCATATCATAGAGAAGGGAGAGGTCTTTTATTAATTACATTTTTCTCTATTACGTATTAATCATAGAACTAAAAGATTCAGATAAAATTATATTCATACGCTTTAAGTGCCAATAATGTTGGATTTGATGGAATTTCTTTAACAAATTTATTTAAATATTCAAGTGCTCGATCTTTTCGATCATTATCCAAATAACACTAAATAAAATATAAATGTTTATTTGTTTGAATTATTCAATATATATATATATATATATTTACAGATGTTATTGCAAGTGCATAATAAATATCTTGTTTACATGTATCATAATATTCTTCAAAATTGTTTAATGCTTGTTCAATACTTTCTGATTGATGTTCTTTAGCTCCAATTTTTGCATCATTTATTAATTTTTGATATTTAGCACGAAGATTTGTTGGTGATATTTTAAGTGCTTCGATAAAATCATCATGAGCTTCATTGTAACTTTCTAATAATGTTTTAAGCTTAAAACAAACAAACAAAAGGTCAAAAGATAATACATAATGATAAGGTAAGATCATAAAAAAGAAAAATAAATAAATAAACAAACCATTCCACGATGAACATGTGGTGAACATTCATTTGGATGATTTCTAATACATTCATCATATTGATACATAGCTCCTTCAAGATCACGTTGATGAATTTTAGTATTAGCTCGTTTTAATTCGGCATTCATTTTTATCTAAAAATTTTTAAAATTAAAACTAAAAAAAAAAGAAAAAAATTTTTTATTCTCTCTAAACCTTTTCTGTAACATTTGGATCATTAATAATTGCATCAAAATCAGCTACAGCTTCAGCATAATTACCCATAAGTAAATAAAATGAACCACGAAGTAATAATGTTTGTAATTTATATGGTGAATCATCTGTTGATTCAAGTTCATTTGTACATAATGATGGTATATCTGTAAAACGACCTTCATCAAATGCTTGATATGCACGTGCTAATGAACTATCTGGTTGTGATGTACGAATTTCATTAATAAATGATTCATTTAATATTGGATCATCTTCGAATTCATTTAATGATGTACGAACATAATCTTTTGATAATTCAGCTGTACTCTTTTATTTTTTTGTTTTAACAAAAAAAAAAAATAATTATTATTTAAATTTAAAATAGAAAATTTTCTACTTACTGGTGGTAAATTTTCCAGATAACGTTTAGCTAAATCAGTAAGAACTTTATCAGCAGCCATAATATATGCTGGTTGATATGAATCAATAAAACATACTGTTGAATAATCTATATAAAATATTTAAAAATAATTCAACTAACAATTTTCAAAACACATAGATTTTAATGAATTGAACGCAGAGTTATTATGAATTAAAAATTCCACCAAATGTTTTCGGTATGAATAAAGCGAAGATCTACAGTCACATTTCATAATTTTAATTTCTCATGTAACCAATATATATATATATCAAAATAAAATAATGAGTCTGAAACTATGAAGTTTGAACCAATTTGTAAACAAAACTAGAACCTATCAGATTCGGATCCAGAAATTTTTGAATCCTATAGGCTCTAGTCAAAACGTAATGAAAAATTTCATTAGACAACGGTACTTTAATTGTACTGTGTAAGAGAAAGTCGATTTTTGTTGAATTATCTTATGAAATTTAATATAAAAGGTCGATAGAGCGCACTTTATACCGGACGATCTACCAACGGATTTTTATCCGATTTGAATTACATATATAGTGATTAGAAACCTACGTGACCGTGACCAATACGCAGGTCTCTACACATCAGTCAAAAAAAAAACAAACTGACAATACGTATGAAGACGATAATGAATATTGTATTTCAAAGAAAAACAGAATTAGTGATCATCAAAATAATAGTAAAGTTATAAATGATACTAAATAATCTAGTTTTCCTTTATATAATTGTTTTTAATTAAGATTAAATATAAAATATGAATATGATAAAAAAATAAAAGTTCGATTTTTCTGTCAATGATAGATTTCGGTTTTCGGAACAGGGGAAAGCGTTCATAGTCACAATATGTGTTTTGAAGCTTATTAGAGATTGTATTGGCTTATTTTCTGCTGAGAAAAATGTTTCGGAAGAAAGTGACGATTACGTTCTATCCTCTAAATTTGTCACTGTGAGATATGGTATTTTTATTTTTTCATTTATTTGCTTAAATACTACCGGTCGCGGTTATGCATGATCATGTCCGATCTTTTATGACTGTTTCTCTTCGAATTATTTTCCGAAATCTTCCCTGATCGAAATAGCAGCATATCATTCACCTAGAATATAGATCTGATGAATTCTTTCATGTTAGCATTGAATGACAATATTTAAAACAATTATTCGAGTGAAAATATTCATTCTCGTTCATTTATTTTCATATAAATCATTTGTCAAAACACTTATGCATCCATTATAATGTACAAAAATCGATTGAATATATATGATAAAGAAACGTGATGTAATTAAAATATATTGAAAAGGTATTTTAATAACATACCTACTTTTTTCGTCTGTTCTTTTTTTAATGAATCATTTATAATAGTTTAATGAATAGTGATTTTGACGAACGATAACAATAGACAGCTAATAACTTGTATTATGAATCAATTGCAATTTTACCTTATGAAAATTCTAGTTTTCTTTTACTTACAGAAAATGAATGTTTTACAACAACACTATATAGAATACATATACTTATGAATAATTTTACATAAACTACTAAAGTAAACAAAGACTATATATGAGTACTCACAAAACACTCAACAATACAATATGAGTACTCATTTATGAGTATCTTTCCTCGAGTAGTCATCAAAAGAAAAAAAACCAATTAATTCATTATATTACAAAACACGGTCTAAAAGGAATATTGAAGTTAAGAGGTAAAACTATAGAGTAACCGCTCTCTACAGTAGAACCCATCAGGTTGATCTGGAGTGTCAATCTGAGAATTTTCTATTACTCGGACTCGAAAAATGTTCCATAAATTAGGTTCGAGACCCAAAATTTTGAACGCGACGGGTTCTACTCCATAGACCATGACGACCGTATGTCAATAGCGTTTCGTTATAATAAATGTATTACTCACTGTCTAATTGTATTTCCGAAGGGCTAAGTAAAAGGATGATGAAGAAATATGTCTCAAAATCGATAGAATAGAACAATCTTCCTGTAATTAGCAATAGAATATTTCTATTTTAATCTCGCAGAGATTTTGTTAATAGATTTTCTTATTTGATTTAGAATTAAACAAACCTTCGAGAGCCAATTCAAAATTTCCCATTGTTTCAGCTGCACGAGCACGTCGTTGAATACATTTAACATATTTTGGATTAAGTTCAATAGCTTTTGAACAATCTTCAACAACTTTTTCATAATCTTTCTAGATAATAAAATAGAGTTAATATTTAATTACAAAAAAAAATACGATGGAAATCACATACTAATAATTCCCAAGTAGCTGCACGATTTTGATAGAATTGTGAAAGTTCTTCCGTTGATTCTACTGGACAGACTTCAATAGCTCCTACAAAATAAATAAATAAATAAATAAAATATTTTATTTATAATAGTTATTTATTTATTACTTGAATAAGCTTCAATAGCTTCATTAAAATTTTGTTCACGATATTTAAGATTACCTTCATTTTTTAAATCTATAGCTAGAGTTAAACGATTCTACGAAGAAGAAAAAAAAAGGATCATCTTTAATCAATAATTAATTCTTTTTATTACTTTTAATCGATTTTCTGATGTTGTAGTTGTATCTTCATTAACTTTACTTAATGGTGTTGGTAAAGGTGATCGTCTCGTAGCTGACTTTTTTGCTTGTTCTTGTTGTTGTCGATATACAAGATAAGCAGCAACACAAACTGCAGTTGGTACTCCAATAATTAAAGCCCATTTAACTAAACGTTTGCCTAAAGTATCTGTTGGAATACTTGAACTTGTATTTGATGATGAACTTCCTGTGATTGTACGTAGATATGATGCCATTAAAATTTTAAATAATCAAAAAAATAAACAACCAAGACGCTTGAAAGAAATTAACGTGTGTATACACACACATATTTGTATATGTTCGATTCAATTGGTATAAAGAATAACCAATAAAATGACATAAAAATGCAAACTCAAATGATTGGTTATCCAATGTTTCTCATTTATATTAGATATGTGAGTTCAAAGTCTTTTGTTTTGAATCACTTGCATCTTTTCTATATCAGCAACAATGAAGCAATCAACATCAATTTTATCGAAAATTTCTTCACCATTAGTGAGTAAAACAAATGAAATATTCTTTTTCTTTTTTCTTTTTGTTTAATTAAGAAATTTATTGTCTTATTTATAGAAATTATCATTACAAAATTTAAAACAAGTACGTTATGAATCCACAAAAAGTGATACAAAAACAGCTGGTGGTCTCAATTTTGGTTTGTAGAATAAATGAATAAAATTCAATCGAATATTTTTTTTCTTTTCTTTGTTTTTTTTATTAATAAAGAATTGACTTCTGAACAAAAAGAAATACAATTATTGGCACGAAAATTTACTAAAGAAGAAATCATTCCAAATGCTGCACATTATGATAAAACAGGAGAGGTATAGATAAATAAATAAAAAAATCAATGACAAATTTGAGGGGTGTGGTCTCGGAAATCGCAATCTTCCTATCCTTTCATAAGGCATTCGTGTTCCACATTTGTTCACATTACTATTGGTATACCTCGATACTCTAGAAGAATAGGTGGTCTACTGGCGTTTTTTGTCCGTTTTGAATTACATGAGAAATTTACGTGAAGATTATGAGATCAATTAGTTTCTTTTTAGTGGTGTGTCAAACCTTTATCCTTTTTATATTAGAGTCTCAAACAATTGACCACCGGCATTTTCATATAAATGATTTTCTGTGTAATACATGATCATTTGACAGCTCTCTATTGTTAAAAGAGATAATAGTATTTAAAACATCATCCTAAGTACTCGAAATTCATATAGGTATAAGAGTTACTCTTTGTTTATATATAAAATAATTTTTGTTGAGGTCTAGAATTTATTGAACATTCTTTGAAATCTATACCCTACTTTCCATAGATCTAAGAAAATAGTGTCTATACACATCGCCGTTTTCCGTAAGCTCCTTAGAACCTCTACCATTTCCTTATTCACCGAAGTTTTTATCTCATTCTTCCTTAATCCTGTTCTATTTTGAAGATTCTAAAAGTGGTGAATAGCAAAATAGTATCATGTTTGAGATGTACCAGGTAAGTCTTTTTTCTCGTACCCTGACTAAGAAAAGTGTTTTAACCCTGACCTTACTCTGCGTATCTCGAATTGTAAGTGTATTGAACGAAGCAGAACAGTTTTGTGAACATACAGCAAAGAATGTCATTATTTTGATAGTCATAGACAACCATTGGAACTCATAAAAATTCTTTGGTAAAATTTATTCTACTGGCAAGAGTTTATCTTGAATAAATTCTCTTGTTTTAGTATCCATGGCCAATTGTTAAAAAAGCTCATGCACTTGGACTTATGAATACACACATTCCAACAGAATATGGTTTGTTTTGTTTTTATAATGTCTACAAAGATTTTTATTCGTTTATTTAGGTGGTTTGGGTCTTGGTATTCTTGAATCATGTATTGTTGCTGAAGAATTAGCATATGGGTAAATAAAGTCATAATTAATGATGTTTTTTTTTTTTGTAATTGATTTGCTTTGAATATAGTTGCAGTGGAATCGAAACAGCTATTGAAGCTAATGAACTTGGAGTAAATATAATTTTAATTGATTGAAAATCTAAATTAACTTTTATATGTAGATGGCTCCAGTTATTGCTGCCGGTAATGATGAACAAAAGAAACGATTTCTAGGACGAATGATTGCTGAACCATTGATGTGTGTATGTATTTATCTATTTTAATGATGATTTTTTTTGTCTACTATTTGATATATTGTAGGGATATTGCGTAACAGAACCAGCTGCTGGTTCCGATGTTGCTGGTATAAAAACACGTGCAGAAAAAAAAGGTGATGAATATATTGTCAATGGAGTACGTATGAAATCATATATTATTCTTTCTATTATTATTTTAGTTTCTATTTATTTTTTTTTAGCAAAAAATGTGGATCACTAACGGAGGTAAATATTGAATGAGAAGATTTTATTTGAAATTATTAATAAAAAAAAAACAAAAATTTTGAATATTTAGGTGTAGCTAATTGGTTTTTTCTTCTGGCTCGTACTAATCCAGATCCAAAAGCACCAGCTAGTAAAGCATTTACTGCATTTGCAATTGAAGCTGATAATCCGGGTTTGATACGAGGACGAAAAGTAAATTTTATATTCATCAAAAAAAAAAGAAAAACGAGTAAATAATCTAATTTCTTTTAAGGAATGGAATATGGGTCAACGAGCTTCTGATACACGTGGTATTACATTTGAAGATATGCGTGTACCAGCAGCTAATGTTCTCGGTAAAGAAGGTGAAGGTTTTAAGGTTGCAATGGTAGTATTTGATCAAACACGACCACCTGTTGCGGCTGGTGCTCTTGGTCTTACTCGTCGTGCACTCGATGAAGCAACACAATATTCATTACAACGTAAAACTATGGGCAAACTTATTGCTGAACATCAAGCTGTAGCATTTATGCTTGCTGAAATGGCGATTGGACTTGAATCAGCTCGTTTAGTTACACATTTAGCTGCTTGGCAAGTTGATAGAGGTGAAAAAAATACATATTTTGCATCAATTGCTAAAGCATTAGCAGCTGATGTTGCTAATAAAGCTGCAACAGATGCTGTACAAGTAAGAAAAAAAAAACCTAATAAAAAAAAAGTTTAAATTTTATATGAAATTTTTTTGTTTCTTTCTTCAGATATTTGGTGGAAATGGATTTAATAGTGAATATCCTGTTGAAAAACTTATGCGCGATGCTAAAATCTTTCAAGTAAAAATTTTCTCGATTCAAATTAAATTAGTTTCAATATGTATATTTATTTTTTTTTTTGTATTTTATAGATTTATGAAGGAACAGCACAAATTCAACGTTTAATTATTTCTCGTGAAATTCTTTCACGTGCTAAATCAGAAATTCGTTAAAATTACTTTAATTTTTGTTTTCTTTTTTTTGACAACTAACTCTTTTGCACCTATTGACTGTGCAATAACGTATATACTTTGATTACTTGATTTTGTTTTTTGTTTTTTTTTGTAATATCAATAGGCATAGATTGCCTTCTATTTCTTTTTTCTTTAACAAGAAAAATTTCAAGATTTATACATTCAAAATAAAAGAAGAAGTTCACATTGCAAATACTGGATTTGTTTTAGCGATAAACTACGGTACGTGTAAAAAATCGGTAATTAACCATTTACAATAATCGATAAGTCACATATAGAATCAGAAATTATATTTATGCTCATTAAGTAGCAAAATGAATACAAAAACTAAATCGATAATAGATGTCATTGGAAAAATATATTTTTAGAAATCGTTATTGATACAGTTTTTGAATGGATAGAAGCTATTTAGAGAAGAATTAATTCGCCAGTTGTGACCAATAAAACATTTAGAAGAAGCTCTAAATCAGATATAGGTTTGAAGACATTTTCATGCTGTGCTGATGCTTCAGACAAATTTAGCGCGTGGACATTATCTATTGCACATGAAAATAAAAATTCAAAAATTTTCTGAAAAAATTATCGTTAAACCGCCGTTAACCGACAAATATCGGTGGTTTACTGTAGTAAATGAAGATGGTAACTGGATCGATAAAACTGTGGTAAACCGCCAGTCTTTTGTCTGGTTTTCATCATATAGGAAATTATTTTTATTTCTTTGGAACTATTAAAAGATCAACAGACAGATGAATTGATTGTTGGAGACGTCAAACAAAATGTGTATTAGACTATAACATTAACATAATGCCATATCAATCTTGATAATAGTATGTAAATTGATGTATATTACTCATCTTCATGTTTGTCTCATTTGCTTATACAATTTATTGTTTTCTAAGTGAATTATTCGTGCGACAGCATATTGTTCGCAGTATAGCATAAATAACACCCGTCGTCATGGACTAATGTAGCATGGAACTATTCTATTTATTTTTCCTTTTCTTCTATGTCATTTGAGTTATTTTAGACAAATTACTATCATTATTCTCTTTGATGGTAAAGATATTGTCTTGAATAGAGTAGGATAAACTGTTTTTTGGATGACATATTCAAGCTCAAATTCGTAGCTATTTTTACAACAGACAAGAAAACATCCAGTACTTTATATGTCAACCTTGATATCAATGTGCAAATATATTCAACAATAGAGTTATCTTTACTTCATAAACATATACTAATCGATTATAACCTTTGTATAAGATTGTTTGTTTCTTGGATTCTTATCTCTAATTAAAGATTTTCGATATGATTTTGTCACATATATTTCATAATAACCTTGATATAAATTAATAACTTTATTAATAGACAAGGAGAACGATATAATAAATATGATCTTTATCAGTATACGAGATGGTAAACGAATCATACAAATATTCTTACATTATGTAATACATCGACTAAGGATAAAAAGAAAGAAAAAAAAGCACAAGAAAAAAAAAGCAAAGTTGGTTTTTTGCTTTTGGCATTCGTATTTTTTTTTATTCGCTACTATTATAGTCACTAGTGTTTACTTTCATACACGTCAATATTTGTTTTTTCGTTTTTTGGTTAATAATCATCGACACGTGTACGTATCTTTCTTCTTTCGTCTTATTTGACATATCATATTCGTTCAATAACATGAGCAATCAAACAACGAATGATGAGGACCAACAACAATCAATAGCAAATCAGCGTGCTGTTCATTCTGAACTTTTAACCAAAATCTATTATCCTGATACATTATATCCCGATAATTATTCATTCTTTGCAGATCGGGATTCGTCACAAGTACGATCCTTACGAACGAATTCAAACGATCAGCATCCAACAATAGATTCAATCAGACCTTCAACACAACCAATTACTATTTCTAACCAACCAACAATAGAAATCGAAACGCCGGAGAGACAAAGCAAACACTCAGTAAGTGTTGTATTTGCATTGAAAAAAAATGCATTTTTCGCCAAGCGCCAATGCTATTTAACACAATCACACACACCAGCTGGACCACAGGAAAAAAAAGAATAAAAAAAAACCATTATCTAGGGTAGAAAATGATTTCAAAAATCTTATCAAAAATTTTGATGTAATTAAAACGGAAGAGATAAAATCTAAAAGTATGATTGAATTTTTTTATTCTCTAATTCCTTGTGTCTATTGTGAAAGTCCATAGTTTGTTTTTTACGATTCTCATTTTTTTATTATATATTAAAAAACGAATAAGACCACAATAATGGATTATAATGTTAACGTTTAGAAAGCTTCTTCATGAATCATTTATTGTTCTTTTATGTTTCGGATATGATATGCAGAAAAAATAAGAGAAAGAGAAAGAGCAAAATAGGTAGATAGCAAATGCGTATCTCGTTGGAGCGCGACCATGAAACAACATGTATTTGAAGCATGTGTAGGCAGTACACTTTAAAAGATATTTTATTTTCATGATACGACTCCATACCACTTTCTAGTACGCATATATATATATATATATATATATATTATATATGAAAAAAAAACGCAAAACCATCTACAACATATACAACGTATTTTTCTTTTCTCTCGATTTTTTTCTGCTGATTGCCCTTCGCAAATGGCCCACATTTGCACATACATATATTTTTTTCCCGTCTCATTTTTTTATGAGACTGAGGTTGTTTTCTTTCTTATTGTGTATTATACTGATATAGGATATTGTGATCGATCACAAAGAATAATCAAGTTAGTATAAGAAAGACAAACTTTCCTAACAAATAAACACATTGATATCACAAAAAAAAAAAACGAGTTTGTTATTTGTAAAGTAGTTATGATTGATAAAAGAAAAAAAAAATAAAGAAGGTGATATTTTTATTTTTTTTCTAATTAATATTGATCAAATATATAGATAGAAGACATTGACAACAAATTTTCTTCTTCCATACACTTCATTTATATAGCAAGAAGAGAAAAAAAACAATGTCCTTAGAAGATCAACACGGTATCGAATTAGCACAAGTAAGTTTAGTTAATGCATTTTTTACGTTAATCTTTTATATTGTTATGTATAAAAACATCTATTCTATATTGGTAATTATATTTCTATTTAGTCTGCAATGATTGATCGAGAACGTGGTGAATCAGAATCTGGACGACAACGATTTGATGTTAAACGTTATATACCTTCAGCATTACGTGCTCAAGACAAAAGTGTAAGAATAAGATTAAATTATTATTCTCTATAATGAATTATAATATATCTTTTTCTTTTAGCAACCACCTGCTATTTTATTAGATCCTCGATTTTATTCAATGAAAAAAACAGCAATGACTATAATGTGTCTACTGGTAAGAAATCAAGTCAGATTTGTATAAAGTTTTGAAATAGTCTAAGTAATAGACACGTATTTTATTTATGTCACGATTCTGATATTAACAGTCATTAACGTTATTTAGTTATTAACCTTAAATATGACGCAATTGAATTGCATCGATATAATATTTATGATACTATTGATGATTATGAAATGATTATTTTTATTGTTACCAACTTTTTACAATTAAAATATAACAAAAATCTTTTCCTATTTCTTAGATAATCATCATGAGTAACAGTGTACAATTAAAACATGTTCTCAAAAAAGGTGACTTACATCCATTCTATGGTACACAAGTTGCACTTGGTATTATTTCTGTACTCATGTGTGCTTGTATTGGTAAGTTTAAACTATTATTTTTTTTTCTTTTCTGAAAGTTCGAGATAGTTGAGTCTTTTTTTTTTCTCGTTCGTTTCATCAAACAACTAGTAGTTGTTACTACCTTCCCTTGCCGGATTCTAGGCTTTGTTCAATTGTATACATTTCTGTTCACACGGCTCGACCATCTACCATTATTACTAACATCATCGTCATCATCATCATCATCATCAATGCTGACTTTGACACGTTATGATCAACTTTTTATTATACTTCCAATTACTTTAACTATTATTCTATTTTTATTTGACATTATTTTTTTGATTATAATGTTTAAATTTTAAGAAAAAAAAATCAATCATTACACATTTCAGTAGTTTTATCGATAGTAGTAATATAAATTGTATTTTGACTTGCTTTTTTTTTCTTTTTGTTTTAATATTTCAATTCTTATTTACATTTTTGTTCTTTATCTTATATTCTAGGTGTGATTCTGATGTATGTAATGCGAATCGATATAAATGATCAATACAAACAACATAAACTTGATTATATAGACAATTGTGTTATATGTCTTGTATTCATTCTTGCAATCTTCAATATTTTTATTGCTGCATGCAGTTAATCGAATCAATTTTTTCCCGTGAACAGTATTTTATAGAATATTAGGGTGTCGCGCTTTCTTTCTTTTTTTTTTTTTTTTGTTCATGGTTTATGTGTCATGTGTAGGCAAAAAAAAGCAACGAAATACAGATTTAAACAAAATTTATTTTCTCTTGATTTGAATCATTAATACATGAATACTTTCAATTTGAATTTCAAGAAGAAAATGCTAATTCGATGCAATGATTGATAATTTTTTGCATTTCTTATAATAAAGAAAATATAACTTCATATTTATTTTTTGGTAATGTTATTTTTCTTCTAGCAAGAAAATGATTCAAACTGGTACCTGCCGTTTGAGCTTATATTGAGTTCACAAGGTGGTCTCGGTAAGAATAGAAAAATCTTATAAGGGTTCATGTCCATGAGTCTCTCGTGCTGAGGTTTTGATCCAGCTTTAGGTATTACCTCAAAAATCAAAATAAAAGTATTTCGATCTGAAATTTCATCTATAAACAGATCCAATCATTAGTAGAATATCTTGTTAATTTCAACCGACAACAATATTCCTTTGTCGAGATATTGAATTTTCAAGTAAACTCGATATTTGTGGCAAACGACCATTTTTTGGAAATTCAATATTTCATCAAAGGAACATTTTTTTTTGCTGAAACTTTCACGATATTCTACTAGTCATTTAATTTGTTTATGAACGAAATTTCAGATCGAAATACAGTTCTTTGATTTTTCGGTAAATACCTAAAACTGAATCGAAAATTTAGTCAAACGACCATAGCTCAGCTCTAGAGGAAGAATTCCCATGCCTTTCGATTACCTTGCGGTATGAGGTGTTGTCCAGTAGCAGACTCAGTTATCCTATATCTTTTCTGCAACTAATACCAGCTGTAGCTCTGGAAAGAAGGTCTGTCCGACGCAGAATTCTTGGGTTCAATTGCTTTAGCTTCCTATACGTACTAGCCACAAGCGCAGGCATATGGCACATCGTAGTTAGCAGGCTATCGAACGAGTGAGCCGAGACAAATAGTCGTTAGTAACTTATCCACGGTCATTTCATGACTGCCAATATCGAGATTTGAACACAGTGCCTAGTGAATACTTGTCGAACAACGCAGCTACTCAATCGTGGCCATCCGGCTCCAGAAATCTATGGGTAAACAACTTAAAATTTTCATCAAATTCCGTCAAATCTTAGAACGTTTTAGATACTAGGCGAAATCTAGTACCAGTGACGGATAGAGCGAAGAAAATTGGTCATAAACGGCATAAAGATTTGGTGGGATTTCCAAAGTTTTCATACCGAAAATTTACAATCTTTATACAGATAAAATAGAATTGGATGCATCCCTACTTATTGAGACAAAATTTTAAGTAATCGCATGTATCTTGCGCACACAAAGATATTCACAAATTCAATCAGTTTTAATTTTTCTATGTAATATTTTACATATCCATTTATTCGCTCGCAAAACTCTCAATATCAGATTTTGATTCATAATATAACACTTATCCTAGATTACGTAATATCTTTGAACACGTAGCTGGGACTAATTGACCGTAACAAAAATTTTCAGAGCTGGAGTTAAGAAAAAGATTCAACTTCGCAGATTTCTGCTATACACATATATTTGAATTATTTCATTTTCCAAATGATAGACCACAAAGAGATACTATAATTTAAAATTTTATTCATTGACTTTTAGAAGAAATAAGAAAAACAAAACATCACCCTTTCAAAGACAATGAACCATTTCTTACAACTTTAATATCAACACTTTAAAATTCTTATTAAAAATTATTTGAGTTGTTTGATATTGCTGAAAGTAATATCTGATTTTTGCGATGTATATGGGTGTTTCCATGGGATGTCGCCAGTCGATTCGGTGACCACGTCCAAATTCAGTGAAACTTTCTGGGTTTGTAGAGTTTTTTACGCTGATCATTTTAGTTATAAAATTTTTATATTTGGTCGCTATTTTTTGAGAGATACAGGTCAAATACGATTGATGCATTTTATGTTTTTTTTCAATCAATTCAAATCACATTTTTATCGAAAAACCGATCATAGTCCATGATTATCTATTCGGATTTTAGAACCAATTACATATTTGGATTCCTCTTGAAAAACTACACCAGAATCCTTAGAAATCTAAAAACTTTTCACGCATTTTTATACTGCTCACTGATTCACAATGTTGAGGAACAGTCTATGAAAAATTCGATCAGAAAGTTGGAATAAACGAGAATAGTGGCCTTGCCAGTTTGATAGAGCAAAACTTGCTCTACAACATCCACTAATTAGTTTTCTCCTCGACCTTGATTATGAAATAAACAACTGTCAGAACTATTTTAGGTTACAATTTTTCATCAAATTCTAGTGAATATATCGGTGAGATCTAATTAGATGGCTTGTTAACCACTTCAAAATTCACTGAGATTTGAAAGAATATGTTCATCTGATCATTTTGGTATTAAATTATCTAATGTTCGACTCTAATATACACAGGTTTCTAGCTTAAATAAATAATATGACGCTATTCCCTTCTTTTCATAAAAAATGCATTGCTTTTTTTAATGCATAATACTTAAAACGATATTATATATACTGATATTATTTGACTTGTTTTTTTGTGAAAATAGAGTCGAACATTAGATAATTTAGTAGCAAAATGATCAGATGAACATGTTCTTTCAAATCTCAGTGAATTTTAAAGTGGTTAACAAGCCATATGATTAGATCTCACCGATATATTCACTAGAATTTGATGAAAAATTGTAACCTAAAATAGTTTTGACAGTTGTTTATTTCATAATCAAGGTCGGGGAGAAAACTAATTAGTGGATGTTGTAGAGCAAGTTCTGCTCTATCGAATTGGTAAGGCCCCCATTTTCGTTTATTCCAACTTTCTGATCGAATTTTTCATAGACTGTTCCTCAACATTGTGAATTAGTGAGCAGTATAAAAATGCGTGAAAAGTTTTTAGATTTCTAAGGATTCTGATGCAGTTTTTCAAGGGGAATCCAAATATGTAATTGGTTTTAAAATCCGAATAGATAATCATGGACCATGATCGGTTTTTCGATAAAAATGTGATTTGAATTGATTGAAAAAAAACATAAAATGCATCAATCGTAATTTGACCTGTATCTCTCTAGAAATAGCGACCAAATATAAAAATTTTATAACCAAAATGATCAGCGTAAAAAATTCTACAAACTCTGGAAGTTTCACTGAATTTGGACGTGGTCACCGGATCGATTGGCGACATCCCATGGAAACACCCATATATTGATTAAGAATTCTTTTTTTCCTTTGATCCTGAGAGTATATGATCGAACAATTCATCTTCTTCAATACTTAACTGAATTTATTGGTTTTAATTTTTTAATACCATGAATTGAGATTTCCCATGAGGACCTTTAAAGACAACAGAATAAGCTATCTTAACTTAAGTCATTTTTTTTCGGGTAGGTAACGACGATTGACTGCCAACAAAATGAAGTCTATAATTGTTTCATAGAACATGAAAATACTAGAGAAAAAGCGTTCCTATTTTGTTTTTGTCAACAACTGTATATTAAGAAACTACATTTTACCATAATAAAATGATAATTATGAATCATTGTCTGCTCCATATAACAGGATGTTTATTGTCATAACTCAAAAATATCTTTACATAAAATTTCAAATAACAATGGAATCTATTTCATAAGAACTCTATAACAATTCAAAAGGGATAAACTGAGGATGTTTAGAATTATGTGTTTCTAATGCTCCATTTATTATCTTATTGCAAAGTCATCAATGTTATATCAAAATTTATCCAAAAATTTATATGAATGAAACTGTGTGTAAATGATGTCACAAATATAGAGATCGATAGTCTTCGTTCTGAATACGATGAGTAATCAAATCTAGAACAGTTTGCCACTATTCATTATAATCAATAGAGCTCATTCAAATTCTTTTCTTATAGAATTTTCATAATAATTCATGATTTTTTTACGATTTCTCACTATTTTTGGATATTCACAGTTGGTAAAGTCGAGAGAATATTTTAGTAATAGATGCATGATTGAAACAATTCATCTATTGGAATATAAGATTGCACATGTATAACAGATATTATATAGTAGTGAGCTTATTTAGCTTCAATGATTTTTTTCTACACTACCTGTCGCACTTTGAAAATAAGTACATATTCAAATGATCTGCTTAAAATGTGAGATTGTTCTAATTTGTTTAAATACATATAAAAAAAAAACAAATTGATTTAAGAAATTTTAAGTCATGCTTTTCGTTTCAATAAATAAATATTAAAAAGATTCGTTCAAACATACATCAGATGAATATAGACGATCAGTCAATTATTCAGTATAATTTGCGTTGCAAGTAAGATATAAATCTCAATTCTACCGATCATTTATCGAAGAAAAATATTACCTTCAACAGTAATCATTTCCATCCGTTATTTTTCCTTTCATTCGCTGATGTTTGCCATTCATCAATAGTTCAGCAAAATTCATTATGTCTTTTTAGATTTAACGTGATTTTATTTCTCATCATTCATCAAGAAGACAAGCATAAAATCATATAAGGAGTAAAACACCAAGAGAAACATTTGCATTTCATCTATGTACAATCGTTTGTCTTCTTTTTACAGCTTGATGTTCAAACATAAGAATTATTACCATAAGATGAGTGTATTCAAGTGCTTTGAATGTCTATTTCGAATTAGTTTTTGATTGAAAAAAAAATCTATCAATGTAATGAAGTGAAACTATATGCCCTCTCTAATTGTCCACATTTATTATTACTCTCCGTGATAGTGATAAGTATTTCTATCATCTATCGAGATTCGTTTTTGAAAATTAATGTTATTAATTCACTTGCCGTGACCATTAATCATCGAACATCGATATTACAGAATACATAAAAACTGTGAATAATTATTTACTGATTAAGGTTTCCTTATTTCTATTAACTAAGCACAACTAATTTTT